ATACCCCACAGTGCAGGGACAAGAATTAGTCTCTCTTAGAGGAAGGAGGGAGGACCAGCTTGGCTGGACAGGAGAATACCTAAGTGCCAGGAAGCCGGGAAAGACTGGGGCAAGAAGAGACAGGGACCCCATAACCCATATCCTGTTTTAACCTCAATGGACCCTCTGCTATGAAAGAGGCTCAGTCATTCAGTGGATAAAAACAACCACAAAGTCATAAAATCTGTGCTCCAACTCTGGCTTCTCATTAACCTCTATGTGACCTTAGTCAGGACATGTCCTCATTCCAAATTTCACTTTTCCTCTCTGTAAAACAGAGATAATCTAGCCAGTAAAGAAGTTGAATGCCAGGATTTAGAAAGGTACAATGTGTTAAATGCACATGAGACTTCCTGTGCCTTGGATATTTATGATCTAGCAGACCTGCCCTTTTTAGGTTACCTTGTTTAGAGCCCTTTCATCCTTGGGGTATCCTCTGAGATGACGGTTGTACTATAAGCAAAGTTTCTATCACTAGAAAAAATTCTGTAAAAGCAAGCAAGAGTTGTTTATTGATAAAGAGGTCAATGATGACATTGGTAAAAAAATAAGGAGAAATAAAGTCCATTCTGTGGGTGAGTGTTGTGAGGTATAAGGCCCATACATTGATATGCAACACACACACACATACACACAAACAGAAACACATACATATACACACAAACACACACACTCATACTCATACATTCCCCCCACAAACACAAATACAAACACACACACTCATACACACAAACACACACATACATACACATACATTCACCCCACAAACACAAATACAAACACACACACTCATACACACACATTCATGCACACACACACACTCACACACTCATACACACAAACACACACACACACTCACACTGATGTCTTGCAGATGTCAGGCTTGTGAACATGCCTTGATCTCTTGATCTATGTGTCCCTACCAAACGCCTCTTGATGCATTTCTCATGAAGAGAGTTTGCGTCAGGACGAGCAGTGGAGTGGGCGGGCAGAAGCAAAGCTGCAGGTGGTAAGCAGAGGAAGCTGAGCTGCAGGTAGTGAGGAGGTTGGAAATGGAATGCACAGCCCCAAATTTGGAACTCAGAATACTATATTCTTAACATTGATAGGCTGGTGGGAAGGAAGCACAGCTGGCCTGGGGAGGAGGCTGCAAATTAAAGAAAGGGTTGACTTTAAAGTGAGGTTGGTCTGGAAACATGAGCAATATATGTGGTCTACATGTGATAGTAAGCTCAGAAAAGCTTACCAGTCATGGAACCCACCCAAGGACAGTCACTCATCCACTGCAGCAGAGATGCTGATGGCTGTTTCGACATTGTAGAAACGAGCCATAGACCAGGCCCCGATCCTGCTCCAGCTCCACAAGCTGCAGGTTGTTGAGCAGGTCATTTAGCTTGGTTGGACTGTTTATTCAAACTGTAAAATCAGATTTTCATGGCACAACAGAACTGTCATGAAGATTGAATAAGGCGCGGGGCTGGGCAGTACTCAGGAAAGCACTCGAGATGCTATCAAGTCTCAGGTAGCCTTTCACTTTGTTCGGGCTTTGTTCAGAATACCCACGGCCCGTCATTAGCCAGGATCACGGAGCTTAGAGTGGGTGCCAAGGGGGTCAGCTGCCCGCAGCATCCTGCTTTTCCTCCATTTCAAGACTGGAGGGTCAAGAAGAAGATCAGGGTCCTTTTTCCCACCTGAAAGTGTCCCTGATTGAGCCTGCTACATTTAGCAAAGAAGAAATAAAGCCTGTCTAGTTAAATGTTGCCAAGGGGATCAGCTGCTCACAGCATCCTGCTTTTCCTCCATTTCAAGACTGGGGGGTCAAGAAGAAGATCAGGGTCCTTTTTCCCACCTGAAAGTGTCCCTGAGTGAGCCTGCTACATTTAGCAAAGAAGAAATAAAGCCTGTCTAGTTAAATGTATACTTCAGATAATTAATAATTAAGAAGTATTTTTTAGTGTATTTCATACAAATCAGCTGCTCACAGCATCCTGCTTTTCCTCCATTTCAAGACTGGGGGGTCAAGAAGAAGATCAGGGTCCTTTTTCCCACCTGAAAGTGTCCCTGAGTGAGCCTGCTACATTTAGCAAAGAAGAAATAAAGCCTGTCTAGTTAAATGTATACTTCAGATAATTAATAATTAAGAAGTATTTTTTAGTGTATTTCATACAATATTTGAGACGTACTCTAGAAAATTCTATTGTGTATCTGAAATTCAATTAATTTGATGCTCTACATTTTATGTAGTGAGCCCACCGAAGTGATCAAGTTCTCTCCACCCCAAGTGACCGTAGTAAACAGCCAGGAGCAGTACCGCTAACGTGGCTCTTGTCAGCTGTTATTTGTGCACCAGAGGAAGGCTCATAGGATGCATGTGAATGGTATCTCTGGATCAGGAAGCGCACGGGCCCTGTGGTGGGGGATGGAGCAGGCAGATGGCATCTGCAGCTAGGCTGTGACTTCTCACTCTTTATTGTTTAAGAATCAAGGTACTTTGAGTCATTCTGATTTTAGTTCAAATTGCATCTTGGCTACTTGCTACCATATAATGTTTCTTAGCTTTATCTGCAAAATGGTAAGAATGGCATTTATCTAGAAGTACATGAAATCAAATAGTGAGCAAAGGGTGGTCATTGCCAGGTAAACTGGGTGCTCCATAAGTGGCAGCAATTCACAGCAAAGGTGACGCTCATATTTGTGACATGACTACCTCAAAAACTGCTCCTTTCTCACGTCCTCCTCCCTCCTCAATATTTCTTACAACTTTCAATCTCTAAACAACTCAAAGTTAATCTGCTTTGTTTTTGTTTTTGTTTTGTTTTGACAGGGTCTCCCTAGCCCCAGCCCACCTGGAACTCACTATATAGACCAGGCTGGCCTCGAGATCTGCCTGCCTCTGTTTCCTGAGTGCCGGGGTTAAAGGCATGTATTCTGTAGATGAACTTGCACTGAGGGACATCTGGGGACACTAACTTGACTCAATAGGCCTTAACATAAATGACAGAATGCATGAAATCCAGTGGTGGGCCTATGGGAGGGCACTAATGGGGAAGAGGGTATAAAGATAATTAAGATGTGGTGTATGGGGGCTGGAGAGATGGCTCAGCGGTTAAGAACACTGACTGTTCTTGCTGAAGGCCCGGATTCAAATCCCAGCATCCACAAAGCAGCTAACAAGTGTCCATAACTCCAGTTCCAAGGGATCCCACAGCCTCTTCTGAGGGCATTGCACGGCACGGGTGCACTTACCTACATGCAGGCAATGCACGCATACACATAAAATAAAAATAATAAATAAAATATAAAAAAGATGTGTATGAAATACACAAAAATTCAATTAAAATATTCAAAAAAATTTTTAATATCCCAGCAAAACAAGAAGGTGTGGAGTCCTTCACTTCCAGCCAGCGCCTTTGGGGGGTTAAGTCAGCTCAGCTATGGGGACCAGAGTGTTGGAAATATCTGGTGGGTGGTTTTCATCAAAACACGCCAGTAAAGCAAGTTCCTGGAGGAAGTGCAGGTGGGAGAAGTGGGTGAGGAATGGCCTGGGAGGTGATTATCAGGGCCACACCAAGGGCCTGGGGCAGACTGGGGGCCCTTATAAGGGTTCCAGGAGCGACTGACTGCACATGGATCTGCTCTCAGTCTCCTTAACTGGGGTCCAGCTCACAGCCTCTGGTAAGTAGGAATGCACCTGCCTTCCTGGGCTTTCCTTCGCCTTGATCTGCCTTGAGCCGCTAGGGCAAGCTCCTCTCCTGTTCCTGAGTAACCAGAGAAGTGACTTAGCTCCATGATGACCATGGAAATGCCACAGTAATTAGTACTTAAGAAATTCAGTCCTCATTCTGTACCATTGCTAGGTGTGACTTATTTCCTGATTCTAGGCTTGACTCCTCAGCAGGGGGATTTTTCTCATTGAAACAGCATGCTATTGAGAGCTGTGTTATTTTGTGGCAACTCAAGTCCTCTCTAAAGCACTTGCACCTCTCATTTGTCTTTTGGCCCCTGCCTGCAAGCATTAAGTTTTTGTCTGAGCTCATGGGTGTACTGGATATTGTATTTCATATTATGCAGCCCCCACACTTCACTCTTGTAACTACCACTGCTCCACTCTCTGAGGTATATACTTCTCACTTCTAACCAGCAATTTCTAAGATGAAGAATGCTGCCTACAAAGAAAACCAGAGACACTCGTCAGCGATGTCTCCATCCTCAGAGATCTTCTAGACACATACCCTCCATTAAGGCACAGAAGTCCAGAGAAGGCAAGGCCCAGAAGTGTGCCTGGCCAGTAAGTGCCAGATTTGCCTTTAGAGTCCATTCCTGAGCCTGTTGGGCTAGGGCTTTTTCCTTTGAACCAAGGTCTTTCAATTGGGCCATCGTTTTCCCCAGTTCTCCATGGAGCTCTGGGATGTATCCTACATCCATGTTCCATGACTCTCCTTAGCATATCAGGGTGGAGTGGGGAATTAGAACCCAGGCTTCTCTGTTTCTGGTATACCCTTTCTCCAGCCCCATTGCCAACTTGCCATGACACCATCCTGGAAACAGAATTGCTCTTGACCTCTACTTCTTCCCTGTATATCTGCATTACCCAACAGCCAAATGACATTATCCAGATCCTTGCTTTGAATCTGTAAAAATGTCTGGTCTACTGTTTAATCTTCAACTCAGTTCTCTGCCTTATTTCCTGGCAAGACTGATAAATTAATCATGTATTCAGATGGTGATTGAGATGGTGACAGAAGATAAGAATTCCTAATAACAAAAAAGGAAGATGGCGAGACAGGGATATTACAGTAGGGTATAGGAATCAGCTCATTAACTTGAGGCAGCTAAAGGTGTATCATTTTTGGCTACTGGAGGAAAATCCTCCTTTAGGAATCGGATGGGAAGATACACGGGGGACCCCTTCTCATGATGCCTCCACATGGGTTTCCTTCAGACTCACAGGTTCCTGAAGCATGTCTTCCCAGCAGCGACAGCACCAGTGCCCACCCCAAAAGACACATCAGCAACAGGTGAAGCAGCCCTGTCAGCCACCTCCTCCTAAATGTCAAGAAACAAGTACACCGAAAACCAAGGATCCATGTGCTCCTCGGGCTAAGAAGCAATGCCCACAGAAGAGCACAGCTAATTCAGCTCAGCAGAAGTGTCCTTCGGCCCAGCAAGTCCCCAAGTGTAAACAGAAGTAAGGATGGGCTGGGTCACCACCTGCCCACCATCCCGGCTACTAGATGGAGCCTTGTCTTCCTCCTCTCCAATTCAAAGATTTTCCTGCCTCTTCCCATGCCCAGTGAAGCAGCATTGTAAGGATTCCTTCCTGTCAAATTCCTCATCACGCACATCTTTTTTGTCTAAAGCTTCTTCTATATCTCACCCCAAAGCTCTCTAAAGTGTGCATGAGAAACATCATCCTCTCCAGCTTCTGTAGGTCATAATATACATACCGTGAGTATGTGCATTGTGTAGCCCTATACATATATATCACAAATAGGGAAAGTACCAGCTTATTCTGGGGCTCCACCCTGATGTGAGGGTACTCCAAAGCTGGGTCTTCAATCTCGTCTCCAGGGACCCTTCTCTGTACTTGTCTCCTATTTCCCTTACCAATAAACTTGTGCTTTGTGCAATAACTTTGTCTGTGTCCTGGGCTCCCGGCCCCATTCTGTGATCCATTTATCACCAAAAGTTACATTTTAGGAAGTGAATATGGGAGTACGTGACCCGGGGAGTTCCAGGGAGTCATTGTTGTGAATACCGTAAATCTCTGGTAGCTAAAGGTAGGGGAAGGTTAGATGTTGAGGCACCTCAGCTGATGGAGCAGAGAACAAGTCCAGGGAATGGCCTGTCAGACCTGCTGGAGGCTCTTCCTTGCCTAATCCCTCCTGGGGAAGATCGAAAAGGAGAGGAAACCTTCACATCCGGTCTTTAGAAATTCAGCATATCTGATGCTTGTAGGTCTCACTGCTTGGAAGCTGTCACTCTGAAAAGCAGACAAAACATACACGAACCAACCAAGTGCTGCGGAAGAGTCATACAAACAAGGGCAAATGGCTTTGGCCTGTATCCGTTTACCTTTTATTCCTGTATTCATGAATGCACCCTCATTTATCCACTCGTCTGCTACCTAAGAAGCCCTAGTGAGAACTTTTCCACTTTGCCCATGCTGAATTTCCAGAGCCATATTTGAGTCTCGGGTTACTCTTTGGAAGTCAGAAATGTTTTCTTATATAAAAAAAGGTTTTTCTGTGCAAAGTACTCAGGGCTTGTTTATGTGAGTCAGTCTGACTTCATGTTATGCTTATGAAAAAAGTTCTACGTTTACAGCTGGCTCCCTAGCCCTCTTTGCTTTGGCAAAAGATAGGTTGCCTATATTAAAAAGAAGCAGAGCCCCAGCCAGCTATAAAAGGACATGAGTTTTTGAAGAACAGAGCCTTGAAAAGGAATGGCTACTCACAGATTTTCTTCCCTTGAGCTTTGTTCCTCCCACGGGATTTGCTCACTTCACATGGAATTTGATTGTGACCGTCAGCAATGCCAATAAGTTACTTCCACATTTGACACACCAGCTTGGGATAGCAGTAATAACATTTCCCCCACTTCCCCTAAAAATTCATTACCTGTGACTGATATTACCAGGAAATGATTATTTAAACCACAGTGAATATAGACATTAACCAAAACCTAAAAGTACTTTAAAAGCACACTCAGTGTTTCTAAGCTTAAAAAGTCTTTGGTAAACTTCTGGTCCCCAAGTCCTGCATTCCCCAAACAGCTCTCTGACTAATAGAATGGCCCATCCATCTTAGGAGTCCCCTTCGTGGCTTCCTTTCATCCAAGTCACAAGCAGTTTCTGGATCATGCTTCTTTGAATGTTTTGACCACATCTCCTAGGTAGGCCCCGGAAAGTCCTCCCAAAAGGCCTTTGGGTTCCTGATTTGCAGCACCTTCAACTGTTTGGACAGACAGAAACAATCAAAGAATGAATGGTTTTTCTCATGTCTGCGTCTCAGGTTATTAACTCAGTGGGCAAAAGAAGTTACTGATTATTCTTCCACCAACAGCCCAGGATGATGTCTCATCTACCCAGGAATGAGTGAGGACCCATTTCCCTCATAACAAAATACTTCCATGTGACTGGAGGTTCACGGAAAACTATGGTACGTGTCATAAAGGAGATGTCACAACATAAGGAGACATGCATCACTAGATCAACTTCCTCATTGATCAAACCAGAAAACTGAAGAGTGTCTCCATGATTCCCATGTACTCTAAACTGTGAAAACCCTTGTGCTACTTAAAATCCTCCCACAAGACACAGAGCACATCATGCGTTAAAATCATTTTCAACGTTTTGAGAAAATACCTGACGAAATGACTAAAAGGGAAGAAAGATTTACTTGGTTTCAGAGATGGTGTTCCAAAGTCGGTTGACTCCATCGCTTTCAGGTCCATAGCAAGACAGAGCATCTTAATGGAGGCTGCTCGTCTAGTGGTGACCAGAAAGGAGGGAGGGAGGGAGAGAGGGAGAGACAGGGAGGAAGGGAGGGAAGAGCAACCAAGAACATCCCCCCAGTGACTCAATGACCTACTTCCTCCAACTAAGTCCTCTGAAAGTTCCTATCGTTTCCCAATAATACCATTAAATTATGAACCAATGTACTAATCAATTAATTAGGCTTTCAGAATCCAATCTCCTCTCCACTGGCTGGGGACTAAGCTTTCACACAGGAGCCTTTTGGAGGACATTTCATGGCCAAACTGTAACATTTTGCCCCTGGCTCCCCAAAAGCTCTTGTCCATCTCATGATACAAAATGCATTCGGTAAAATCACCAAGAGTCACCAAAGCCTCAACATTTCCAACAATTGTTCAAAATTTCAAAAAAAAAAAAAAATTATAGAGGCTCAAAGAAAACATCATTTAAAGAACCCTTGTAAAATTAAAAACAAAATAAAACCAAGTTATGTTCTCTCAGTATACAGTTGTGGAAGGTAAATGTTCCCATTCTAAAGGGCAGAATGGGAGAATCCCAAAGAAAGACCAAACCAAAGCACAGCAAGCAAGCAAGGAGAACACTGACTCCTGCCTGTAGCTTCATGTCCAACGTCCGCGGTGATGACACAGGAGCGCCAAAGCTTTGGAGGCTCCCACTCACATGCTCCTGTCCAACTCTGCTCACTTTTTGCAGCTTTCCTTGGCAGATGCCCCGTGCTCCTCATATTTCTAATTTCCTCAAGCCTCCTTACAGTCTTCACAATTTCACACAGAACTCTCCCAACAGCTGCCGGCAAGGAATCCTCTGCTACACAATGGCTGGCTTACAGAGCTCTCGTTTGAAACCTGGGTGAACGCCTCCATGACCCTACAACTCTTATATTCTGCACGTCAGCAGAATTAACATTGTGAACAATGATGGTATCTGCTACTGACGTAAACAGGGACTGGAACCCCTAGGACCATAGTCTCTGACTACAGGGGTGTCTGAGCATAGTAAAGTGAATTCTGGGAAAACAACTTCCGGGATGGCCCTGTATGAGAAGCCTGCCCCAACAGCACTCTCGTCTCAAGGGAAATTCTTTCAAATAGGCTTACGCTTTCTCAACCTTAGGACTGCAATGGATTGCTCTATCTTGCTGATTTCTAACAGGAATTCAAGATTTCTTTCCTACTGTCCCAGTCCAAAATATTTGGCTACTTTATAACGATTCTAATCTATCCTACAACCCTATCTCTTTAGCTTAAAGTTTACATGTGCTCCCCACAACCCTCCTTTTTTGAGATACAGTCTCACTGTATAGCCCCACTGGCATGAAACTCATTGTGTAGACCAGGCTGGCCTGGAACTCACAGAGATCCACCTGCCGCTGCCTCTCGAATACTGTGATTAAAAACCTGTGCCATCACACCCAGCTCTACATGAGCTTCTTATATGACCAACCAAACTACAAGCTTATCCAGTCTTTCTGCTCTGTTTTCTCCACCCAACTCTCATTGTAAATTTCACTAAAAAGCATCCAGAAGGAATCATGCTACAACCCAAATTCTGGGCTTCCTTCAAGTTTCTTCAGATTAATTAATCTACCACCTTTAAATTCAACCTCCCACAAGGTCTCAGGGAACTGGTAGAATGTTGTCAAGTTTTCACCCAGAATCTAACATGAATGGCCTCCAGGTCCCAGGTCCTAACTGACCTCATGAGTACAGCTTTCATTGTCCACATCTCTATCAGCATTCTGGCCTTCTGATCTCCCACATTAAGCCCTGCACACAGATTTTAGTGCTTTCTGTAGCTAGTATCTCCAAATACTTCCAAATTCCTCCTGAAAACCAGTTTCAAAGGCTGATGAAGCAAACAGGCAAGCTCACTTGTAGTAACAGTCCCACTTCTTGGTTCCAAGTTTCTGTTAGCTTTTCTGTCACTGTGACAAACTGAAACAGTTTAAAGACGGAGAGGCTTATTTTGGCTCACGGTTTCAGTCCAAAGGTGACTGGTTCCGTTGCTTTGAGGCCCATGGTAAAGAAAAAGCATCATTAAGGAAGTCTGTAGGAGACTCTATCTGGTAGTCAAGAACCAGAGAGAGGGTAAGAGATGGAGAAAGGGGCCCAGGACAAGAGTATACTCCCAGGAGCCTGTGTCCCTCATCTAGGCCCTGCTTCAGAAAGTTTCCACTACCTCCCAGTGGTTTGATCAAATTACTAATCCATCAGTGAATTTATCCAGTGATTATGTCTGTCACTGCTGGATGATTAGATCGATCAGCTAGAGACTAAGCCTTCAAGGTATGCGCCATTTGGGGAGATAATTCACATCCAAATTGAAGACCGCCATCCGGCAACTTATAACTGGCTTTTCTCTAAGCTTGTAATCAGTTTTTATGCCTCTGGGGTTTTGTGGTGGTTGTTTTGGTTGTGGTGGTTGTTTTGGTTGTGGTTTCTTGGTTCATGCTGTTTCTTCTGCGTTGCATATCAGTTCACCGCTTTGCTGTTAATGACAGCCCACTGGGTTTAAAAGTTTGGTTTCATGGAACCTTCCTTAATATTTTTGAAAAAATGGATAACCCCCATAAGTTCTCATAATACTTTATCCACTTTCTTCATTTTTATTGAATTTTCTGAGTTTTATGCAATATATTTTGATAATATTTAGGTCCTCTCCCCTCTCTGCACCCCCTTTAAATTCCCCCTGCCC